TGCGCAGCCATTTTCACATGCTCGCCTCACCGACAATGTGGAGATCATGCTAACTAATCCAATGTACCGCGGCGATGCCGACGAAGCGCCGCCCTTTGCTCACGAAGATGATAAGGTAATGCTAGCAGCTTCCATTGGGAAAACAGAAATAATATAATTCCCAACTATTTGCAGGGAAACTTTGCTAATCCCGTGTACGAATCAATGTACGCTGATGCCATAGCGGAACCAGCCATTGCTGAAATATCGCACAGCACGGCGCCAGATGAGAGAAAGGGTCTGTTGCAGCACACGCACGACGAGACGCACACGCCGGATATACTCTGATGATTGAGCCGTTTCAGTCATGATCGGGAGCTGTGCTAAGCACAGCCACAGATTGTTGTACACTTAAAACACATACTTTAGCACACATTTAAATCCAAATGCAAACTGACTTGAATACGAACAATGGACTGATAGCGTAGCCATATTACGAATTTTGTAAACATTTTGTTTCCTTTTTTTTTGTGTGGGGTGGGGGGACGGGAGGGGAGTGCGGCCCTACCAAAGAGCGCTAAACCTAATATGCAACTGTGGCGTCTCCTTGCTCCTTGTCTAATGTCCTTAAGAATGATGTCCTTATACTATAACTTATAACACTTCTTGTCATTCTTTTTGTTTAAGCGCCTTTTCTAATTGTCGCAATGTTTACAACAAATTTGCCTTCCCTACATATTGATTTAATTTAAAAAAAAAAAAAACACGTATTTGTGCATTTGTAAATTTTGTAGTTCGTAGACTTAGTTAAAGTTCACGTGCAGCTAAAAGAAACTCAATTTTTGTAAATATTTTTTTAAATATAACGCCCAATGGCAGCCTAGTTAACATTTAAAACAAGCACTAAACGTTTTGCCAATTAGTGAAAAATATTGATATTTAAACGAATACAAATCAGCAATCAATTGTAAACGCAAGCTAATGTTTTGAAACTGAACAGAAATATGTGAAATGCATTTAAATTAATTTATTAATTGAGCACAAGCAATTTTAACGCACAAAAACCAAACCGAAAACAAGAACCAGAACAGACACACGACAGAAATTATAACGATCAAATAACATAGTCTAAATAGCTTAAGGAACATTTCAGATATACATAACTATATTATATTACATTATTTAGTTTGTCACTTTTTAATGCAATCGAACGAAAACGATATCCTGTATAAAACATAATGCTCAGTCAAAAGCCAAATTTTAACATATACAATGTAAAAATTTAATAACTATAGCGTATACACAATAAATGATGTATGTGAAGCCAAGTGCAGAACGTTCATAAAACGTTAGACGTGCACAAAATACACATTCGAAAGCAATTGTAAAAATTAATAAAAATGAATTTCAAACATTTTATTGACGGGAAAAGTTGAAAGCATGCTTATATATATACATTCTGCAACTACGTATATATATATATATATGTATGAGCTGAAGAAAAGCTCGCGTTTGATGGTAATTTTTCTGCACGTTGCGGGTCAATTAAAATCTGAGCCACATTAAAACTGCTTTCTAATAATATATATAAATCAAATCAAAATATTTATAGCTTAGAAGATTTGCTAGATCGAAAATTTAAAATTCTCTAAGCTTAGAAGAGGTTACTTGTAGTCGCAAAAAGTCTCGAAAAATGTTGATGTAGACTCAACTAATCTCTCAGGAAGAATATGACCCAAGAAAATACATATAATATAATATTTATGTTCCCTTTGGTATAACCCTCTCTAAAGCTAAAATTCCGAAATTTGGCAGACAGATACTCATGAGTTCCTCTAAAGATTAGGTTAATATATTGCCTACATTTCCTGAAGTAACTCCTAGTTATAATCGTAGAATGCAAATTACCAAATCAAGAAGTCTTTATCGACTTTAATAGAGAACAGATTATTGTACTGTCGCTGACTCGTTATTGTTTTATTTAAAGACATTTCTTCGGTTGATTAAAATATTGATCAAATATGTATTCAAATTTGCGCCTTATAAACAAACCATTGCAACTTATACTTTTTTCTAAGTTGTAAGTTATTATTTTAGTTTAGTTTAAGTTTTAAGTTATTATTTTTATTTTAGTTGCTTATCACAAGATTTTGTATACAACAAAATTCACTTTTTCTCTTTCGCAGCAAACATTGCCATATGGCATCCGTTAGAAAAATCTCAGCACGAAGCGGAAGTAACTTTCAATTTTCCTCGCTCAACCTTTTTTGTTCTTTTTTTTTTTTTTTTGATATGACGCAGGCGAGGTGCGTAAAAAGGGGAAATGAGCCTGGAAAATCGACAGTAATTTGTTTCCTTTTATGAACCACATGCTTACGGGGAATATTAGAATTTGTAACCACTCAAAATGCAGTTTGTTAATATCCCCATTTTCTATATTTCAAGTGTGCGACGCGTGGGCACTTCCGTTTAAAATTTGTTAGGCCTTTACCTGAAGGACTCTATTGACCCAATGGAGCCTTGTGGCTGGGAAAATGTTCTACCCGATCTCTGAGCTGTGATTGCTTACGCAAAGCTGAAATCTCGCTGCTATCTCACGCATATTTACTGTGGGTTATTGATATGCTCCTGTCTGCATTTCAGATGCACTTGTTGGCCACAGGACCCGAACACGGTTATCAGGGGCCATTCACAGCCATTGGGTCGTGTGAAAAATGCAAGCGATTTGAATTTGCTCGGCACAGGTAGTCGGTAGAATTCATTTCATCCTTTGCTCTGGTAAAAAGGATCACCTTGGGTGTATGTTAAGTGTCGGTCGGTACGTGTGTGTGTGTGTGTGTGTGTGGGAGAATTCCTGTTAAACACCGCATGACTTTGTTGTTTGTTTGTTTGCAAGGATATCTCTATTATAATACAAACGAGATTTTTGGGTTTAAACTGAATTAAACTGTGGGAAAAAATTGTTTGTACCAATGTTTGGCAAGTTAATTACAATAAAATGGGCTGAAAAATAATGCAAACGATGTGCGAATTAGAAACTAGTTTTTATCTCTAGAGAACTACTTGAGTATCCTGTGCTGCCTCGGGGCGCTTCTATTGCGCAATTGAAACCAGTAATTCAGCGCTAGAGAATCATCTATTTTTTCCTCAGTTAACCAGTTTTCAGAAATTGCGCATTTGTCCAGCTGGGCCTCACATGGCAGCCCACTTTCAGGCCCAGAATTCATGCAACAATCAAGCCATTAATTATGCCAAACGAATTTCAATGCCAGCATAAAAAGATTCCCATTCCCACAAGACGTAGGGAAAACGAAATCAAAAGTAAAAACAAAAGTGATAAGCCGTAACGAAGTGCACAGGAATTTCATATAGACAAGCCGACCACAGCAGAGAGACAGATAGAGAGAGAGAGAAAGGGAGAGAGTGAGAGAGAGAGTGTGTGGCCCAGCATCAAATCACAGCAAACACAAACAAAGAAAAAGGATCTACAGAACAAGTGCAATGCAAACAGGCGCAAAGCAAACAGCGAAGCGAGCACAGATAAAAGATCTCGTAAGTGTGTGTGTGTGTGCGTGTGTGTGCGTGCGTATGTGTGGGAACACGACGAACAAGTGCAACGGTGTATGGAGACTGCAAAAGGATAATAGCGCTAAAAGGAAATGAAAATTATGATAATTTTGTTCTTTCTCACAGCAGATCGGATAACAGCAGCCACAGCCGTCGTGTCGCTATGATTGAGTGTGGGAAGTTCGAAGGCGATCGCGGAGCCGAGAGCCGAGAGCCGAGGGCGTCGCCTAGCTGGTTGTGTCGCTCGACAGCCACACGCAAGGCAGCCGCAGGACATGGGGTCGCTGTGCGGAAGTGATTTTGAATTGGAGAAGAGAAAAAAGAGCATTGTCCTCAAGAGCGAAAGGATGTTAACCAATTTTATTGAACTGCAACTGATGAAAGCACTTTTACTTTGATTTCTCGCTGTGCTGCGTATAGCCAAAGAGCTCCTTGAGCAGATTGTAGATAATCATTTGTCGCGTCACTTCCGCCTCATATTTCATATACTCCTTCAGGCGATGCTGCTTGAACAGCTGATCGAGCAGCTCGTATAGCTCCATCTCCAGAGCGCGCAACGAGATCTCCAGCTCTGGTGTGTGTGTGCCCGAGAGCAGGGCTTGCATATAGACATGGGATATCTTCTCTAGAGCCGCATCCAGTGAGTTGAGCATATTGTCCTCTGGACTGTGTGCCAGATGAGCGGCGGGTCCTGCGAGCTTTGGTGAGGCGCGATACCCAGCATTAGCCGCGATCAGCGGCACAAATACCAGGCAAATCAGCCAGAGCTGACTTGCAACTAATTTGGCTTGCATGGCGAGACTTTTGAGCTAGAAATTTGTCAGTTGTCTAAAACTTTATCAAAGATCGAGGCACGCCTATTCAGCCCGTTCGGCTGGGGATCACTGCGTGCTCTGTTGCAATAACTTTTGTGCGAGCTGGGCAATTGTGTAGTCGAAATTGGAGCACGCCGACTCTTTATATACTGGAAAGATCTGGCACAGAACATCGGGGTTATCAATTCAGTGAATCGTTGCAAAAATGACCGACTATGTACTCGAACAAGGTTACTTCCGCCAAATGTTTTCTATTATCAGCGGAAATTTGTGCAAGTGTTGGCTTCCGTTCTGCCATGGGTCAAGGTTGGGATCACATAAAAAATATGTTGGCTTGGATTTAATTCCATGTGGCATTCATTTTAGTCCATTCATGGTCTTACATATCGTTAGGACTAAAATGTGTACAGAAATTAATATAAAACTGAAAAAGAGTCTTACTCTCTGATTTCTCATTCTCTTCAGTTAGAAATAATATTTAAAGAGGAATTAAAATCGTTTTGATTAAAATTTTAATTCTAAATCACTTTTAAAAAAAAATCAATTAAAATATTTCCATTTTCACGGATACTTTAAATCCAAAAATAATTTCAACTAAAATGAAATACCCATTTTTTTTTTTTTGCTTATTTGAAGCAATTTTGTTTATTTTATTTGTTTCACTCAGTTGCTCAGTTGAAATTCAGCTGGAACAAGTCCATAAACTATACTAAAATAAAATATTAATAACCTCTTAGAATCGAAGCTGGAAACGTGAAAAACTTGACGCTAAGATCTACATAACTTAGTTAAAAATTCTTGCAGTTGAAACTTAAATAATGTAATAAAGAACATTTAATATGAATCAAGAATATGCCATGTTGCTAAAATACATAATAATAATAGTAATAATAATAATAATAATAGATAAATGCTTAAACAAATTAATACAAATTATACAAAAATTACACAAAATATACACGCTTTAAAAAATCACAGCTGAACTTAAAATTGAAGAAAGCGAAACATGGAAAATGGAAAAACTTAATGGAAATCTGAATAAAATTGCAATGAAAATAAATTAACAGAGACAGAGAGAGAGGGGGAGCATAAACTTAACATAAAACATAGACAATATTTGAGAGGATGTTGCTGCTGCTGCTGCTGCTGCTGCGTCACCAGGGCCGCCAGGCGGAGCTGGACTTCTCGATGGCGGCGGCCAGGAATTTCTTAGATGATGGTTCGTCCGATAACGAACAATCGCTAGAATCGGCCCGCTCGTGCTCCTGCTCCTGCTCCAGTTCCGCCTCGCGCATCCGCTTCGCAGCGCCACTATCCTGGCCGCTGGTGGAGCTCACCTGCTGCTGTTGCAGGTGCGAGCGCGACGTGTTGCAGGCAGAGCCGCTGGTGTCATGGCTGCCGCCGCTTAGATTCAGGGAGCCGCTGCTGTTGAAGGAGGTCTCCGCGCTGGTGGGCGGCGGCGTGGAGAAGACGCCAGCAAAGCTGTGCTGTTTGGCCAGCAGCAGTTCCGCCTGTACCGCACTCGCTGGCGAGGCAGCACGCGACTCATCGCCATGGCTCTGGCTGGAGATGGATGAGATGGGGCTCAGGGGCGGACTGCTGGTTGTGTTCTTGGCGGCAACTGCGCTTGCAGCTCCGCCTGCTCCTGCCGCCTGCAGTTGCGTCTGGGCGGGCGCTGTCGGCTTGTTGAATGCGCTCAGCCTGAAGCTTTGGGCGTAATCACTCAGATGCGTGGGATTGGCAATGCTGGCCAGCGCAGCACTGGCTGCATTCACTGCCGCTCCTGGCCAGACAAAGGGCGCCGGCGCGGGTGCCGCTGTCGTTGTTGTATTTGGCATGATTAAAGCAAACTCGCCCGAGGGCAGGCGGGAGGGTATCAGCTGAAGGCCGCCCATCTGTATGGCTGGAGCTGCTGCTGCTGTGACGCCCTCGCGGCTGCTGTTGCTGCTGCTGTTGTTGTTCAGATCCTGGGGCAGTGGTGGGAAGAGGGGCGCAGCGGCGCCCGGGAAAATGGCCGGCAGCTGACCGCGATAGCCATTATTGAAATTAGACATCGATCCAATCTGCTCCAGACTGTTGGCGCAGTTGTTAAGATGAGCGCTGAGACGCTGACGCACGCCCGGCTCAATGCCATCCATTTGGCTGACATAGCGATTCACCTCCTCGGCGCACTCAACAAAGCCCGTCTTGAACTTGTGCACCACGCCGGGATCTGTCTGGATGGCCATGTTTAGCTGCTGGCGCTGCACAGACTGCAAATGCTTCACCGTCATCTCGAGTATGTCGGCCTTTTCCAGTTTGGTATGTCGCGCCGGCTAAAAACGGTAGAAGAACAAACAGATAATGATGAGCTCCATGTCGTTCGGTGTTGTTGTTGGGTGTCGTTTTGGCTACACTTGGGACTACTCAAAAGTGGATAACAACTAAAGCAGAAGCCGCCCGGCTAATTGTTTTCGTGCATTGACCAGGCCAGACCAGGCCGGACCAGGCCGGACCAGAGACCCTCAGACACAAGGCCCTATAACAAGTTCAATGCATGGGAAACAAGTGAAACACGTAAGCCAGCAGCCGAACGGCAGCTGAACGACTTCAAAATACCCTATAAGCGTATAATGCTGGAGCAAACTTGTCAAAAATGGCCCAAAAGCTCATGTTGTCAATATAAAACTCATTTCTTGCCAGTTAATGGAACTTTAAGCTAATGCGATTATCTGCAGCTGCTTCTGCGCACCCATCCACACTGCGTGCTGAATCTATATACCCTCTGGGCTGCCAGTTCGGCTATAGGGCACAAGAAAAGTGAATGATGCAGGCGCTTGAGCACGTTTCTTGCCTCATATGTCCAACTATTTGTAATCTACCTCTGTTTCTGTTCTACAGTCCACTCCAGCGAATATCACACGCCCCAAAGCCGTGCGGCCGCTAAGCTCTGCGCGAGGCGCTGATAGGCAGAGAGAGCAAGAGAGAGAGAGAGAGAGAGAGAGAGAGAGAGAGAGAGACAGGTAGACGTGAAGAGAGTGGCCACAATCTGTTTGGCACTTCTTCTGCGTACGTTCGTTTCTGCTGCCGCTGGCTGCATATTTTGCAAAAGTTTCCCACGCAGGTCGCCCGCTTCGCTGCCCTGCCCTGCCTCACCCCCGCTCTGCCGTGGGCCGTCTTCTTGTCATGTCTGCATCTTTTGTTTACTTTTGCTTTTTCTTCAATGTCTTTCTTATTTGATTTTTGGTCGTTGCCTGCAGAATTCTGCTACACTGGCGTCGGCGTCGGCGTCTTCGCTTCGCTTCTATCTCATATTTTTTTATGTGATTCTTCGTTTTTTTTTATTTTATTTTTTTTTTATGTGTGTGTTTCTCACAGCAGGATCTGCTGGTGGCTCCTGTGGAAACAGGTTTACAGTCTCGCTGTCTGAGATTTCTGCGTAATTTCTCGACTTGTTAACACTTTTGGTCTGACTGACTCGCCATATCGTCATCGTCGGCGCTCTCTTGTAATGATCATCAATAAAATTTAATACTCAATTAAACTGTTGGCTCTTTTTTTTTTTTTTTTTTGCTTTTTGTCTGTGCGTCTGTTGTAGGAGTCGTGTATCCTTTTGTACTTTTGCCGACGCCCAGACACACTTGAAATTTCTGAGTTTCAGAAATTTATGTGTTTTATGACACCATTTATAAGGAGAGTGAACAAATCTTGTACATAGTTTCTAAATCAGTGGACGCCTCTCTGCTTCTTTCCTACTCCACTTATGGATACTTACGTCTTTCTTCATTGCCTCCAGGATCAGCGATTTGAGCTCGTTCAAACAGTGATTGATACGAGCGCGACGCCGTTTTTCCATAATGGGTTTGTTTGTCTGTAAAACAGAAATTGATAACAAAAAGTAAATAATTTGTACTTATCAAAAAAAAATAGGATATGAATATGATATGAATGTGATATAAATCAGAAATTGTTTTAGCGGATATTTAGAAATGTCTTGAAAAATTGGTGATTTTTTTTTATAATATCGTGTATATTTTTATTTTTCGAATAAAAACTGAACAGAAATCCCACTAGCTTTAAAAATTTAAATATCGCATAAATACAATGACAATTATGTATCTAATTTCAATTAAAACTTTTGAGAAACAGGCTCATTTTTTGAAAAGTTTTTTAATAAAAAAAAACACAAATTTTTGGAAAGTTTCTCAAAATTGTATACAATTCTTTTGCAGCCCATTTGAACTGGGGAACTAGGAACTTTGGTTCAGAGATTTTGCACAATTTCAGTGTAATAATTTATCAGACTAATAAATTCTGCTGTTCTAACCCTATTCATCCTATGAAGTCGACTAAAACTCACCTTTCTCAATTCCGCCTTGGACAGACCATTTGGATTGGCCAGACGGCCATTGCTGCCAAAGCTCTCGCTATAGCCATTGGAGCAGTCGAAATCATCGTCCGAGTTAAGATCGTGTTTGTAATCCATTTTTGTTTAAATGCTTAGTTGATAATCCAAAAGTATAGTATGATGGGGGAGAGAGTTTTCTTAATCCAATCAAATGACAAGTTCTGTTTTTAAACACAACACTAAATGTTTCACAACACAAAAACTTTGGTTGAAGTACGAATAAAAGTGTCAACAAATTATTGCACGTACTTTATTGAAATGTCCGAACGGATAAAACTTAACAAAATGTTACGCGCTTCGATTTAGTTCATTTGAAACGTTTCTGAGTCTTATATAGGTTTTTACTGTAGCTGCGTTTCAGGACGAGCGGCAGACAACCGCGCACACGGAACGCCAAAAGGATACTGATCCTCGTCAGAGCTAGCGCGTTGTCTAAAAACGATACGCGACGAGGGCAAAACGAGTCCGAGGCGACTCGTTTACCTGAGCAGCGACGTCGACTGAAACGGCGACGGCGACGGCGACGGCAACGACGGCGCAGGCGCAGGTAGCCATGAGAGCCGACCGACCATTCGCTCTGCAGCGCATTTGGGGTGGTTCTGCAAGCGCGCAGGCGAGAAATTCCAGCGCAGGCAACTTAATGCTCAAAAATGCAAACCACTCAAACGCTAACTGAGTTTGAGCTAAATTGTGTGAGTGAGTTAAGTTGGTACTCAGCAGAGTTGTCGAAAAGCCCAATCTTATAATAAGAATATGTTTTAAAACCGAATTTAACTGAACCATTTTATGTTCTGCAAATTAAAGCAGATTTAAACTGTATGCATAGCTTTCAAAGCTACAAATTACTACAAATTTCAATTATTATATTATATATATTTATCAAGTTAGTCATTTTGCAATTTAAAATTTTGGTGAACTTACATTTAAGATATTTTCTTAGAATCAGTATTTAAATCAAGCATTCTTAATCCTCCCATCCCATTATAAAAACCTGCTTTAAAATTGTTAAATATTCAAATATTCGTTGAATACTTTCTTAAATTTTGTTCTGTGAATGTTTCAGCTGTATCCAAACAATCGGTCTTCGTTTCTGCTGCATCCAGGTACTCATGCGAATTAATTTTCGCCAGCCACCCCTCAATCAATGTTGATCATTGGGCGCAATTCATTAAAAATTCCTTCATAATGCTCAAAGTTGTCTTGCGCCCAGACTGTCGGCCAGGCTGGCAGGCAGCTGTCTTGGCAGACTTTGAGCAACCCCCCTTAAGAAATTTTCCTTTTCTAGGGGGTTGCGATATTCAGCCTGGTCACGGGTCAATCATTAGTTGAAGCTTACCTGACATGTCAGTTTGCGCGGGGATTGCTGTGTACAACACCCCAAAATCGTAGGGCTCTCGTAGGAATTTATTGCTTTACAATGTTGGCAGGATTTAGATGCACGACAATGCAAAATTGTCAATAACCCGATTTTGGGCCATGCGCCAGCTGACAGCTGACAGTCTAGCGGCCGCTCGGTTAGCCAGATTTAATGGCACCCGTCATAAAAATATTGCGCCGCCTGGCAACCCTGGTTGTGCAAGCCAAGCAACCCGATTGCACTCAGCTGGCGTGCTAGTCAATTTTTGAGTGTAAATCCCTTGTCGCGGCCCGAGTCGTAAAAGGGGCGACAGTTTTGTAAATTGAATAAGCACCGCATTTGACTATGATCGCTGGGTATATGCAAATGTATACATTTATTGTCTCTGTGGTTAACCCCATGTTGCACATGCTGATCAAGAGTGATCGACTAATCAGTTCTCTTAAATGTTATGTAGCGTTCTTCTTAATAAGCTGCATTTAGCTGCAAATTTGGCAAACTGTTTCCCACGAGCAAACTCAACAAAAGTCATGAGCTGGCAGAACAGCAAAGCAAAAGCTAAAGAAGCAGCCGAACCGCAGACTCATCACACATATGGGGGGTTGTAACAGTCGGACTCGCACTTGTGAATGTGGCTCATTTGGTCTTGTCTGGGCCAAACGTGCCGATCGCACCGGTCACACACTCGAGAGTCGCAAGTCGCCAATCTTGAGAAAATGAGAAACGGAGAATGAAATTCTATAACGAAACGCGCTGCATAAAAAATCAAAGTTCAATATCAGCCCCAGACCCAGTCCCAGTTCCAATCCAGATACCAGTGGCAGCAGTGGCAGAGTTGCTTTGGCTTCCTTTTTTCATACGGTTTTTGGGTTCGATCTGTGGATCAAGGTAAATGCCGTTTAGTGTGGCACGATCGCTGATCGGTAGCCGTCTGTGCTGTCTGTGCTGGGGCTTCCTTGTGCCTTATTCTTGGTTGCGTTTTGGTTTTCGTATTTTTTTTTTTTTGTTATGCCCCAACGCACGATTTACACATTAAAACACTTTAATTTTTATTGCATCGAGCGATTGCTTCCCTTTTCTTACTCTCCTTAATCAATCCAGCAGCAAGGTAGCATATGTGAGACCTTTTGCAACCTCAAATTAGTGCCTGCGGCTAAATGCTGGGGCATATATTTTTAGCTGCGGCTTTTTTTTCTGTGGGAACTGCAGTTATTATAGGGTGTGCTACACCCACACCCACACACACACTCCGATAACTCTCCGCACACCCCCTAAAACACGCATATAATGAGCATGAAAAATATGAAACAGTAGCAAATGTGTGAAGTGCAGGGGATTTGGTCCTACAGCTGGGATGCTCGGATGGAAAGATATATGTTGATTTAAATGAATTTTTTGTTGATTTTTATGGCGCCTTGTTCGGCTGACTGTGGCGGGGGATGGTGGTGGGGGTTAAATTTGAGTGAAGTGTGCGTCGGGTGGCATTAGAAGTCGTGACAGGCGCGGAGTTCCAAAGGGAAACTCTTATATTACGTTTATGAATTTGATAAATGGCCAGCGCTAGTTGGGCTAATAACTGGAAACTTTTGTGACAGATGTGGGCGGTATGAAATAAAAAGACGCTGCGGCAATACCTGGGAACCATTTACGAATCGATTTAGAATAAGTTCTCAGGGGACCAAAAATATCCGAATATTTTTATTTTGTTTGTTTTGAATTAAAGAAAGAAAGAATCATTTTATTTAAAAAGGTGCAAAATGAAAAAATATAAGAATATTAAGGTACACATTGTAAAGGTAGATTTTCAACTAACACGATTATTAATTTATTTTGTTATTATTTTTTATATTTAATATTTCTTTCATTTTCGGATAAGTTAAGGCTAGAATATCATTTTTATTCAACAACAAGCTACATTTTCTATAAAAGATCGCATATATGCAAACATTTATAATTAACTTCAATACTTTTATCTCACATACAAAAAACCGACTAGGTCACTTCTCGAAAAAATGTCAGCTAAAAAGTGTAAGAAACTACAGAAATGTTGTTGACATTTAGAGTGCTTTAATCGCATAATATGCGTAGAAGCAGAATTTGAAGATAATTGAGTATTTTGGGGGTTGTCAGTGTAACGGCTATCCAGCATATTGGTCAGCTGCTTTATGGGAGAATGTCAACGATTGCGCCTCGTGCCGTGTGCTGAAAGTTGGCACAGCTGCCGAGTACGCCGAGTACGCCGAGTACGTTTGGCCAGGAGAACAATGGCAGGGGATTGGGTCCGGAGCTGGGCTAGCAAACGGCGCTAAGACCTCAACTGACTTTCAAGGGACATGCGGCCTATTGCTGCGCCTTAATTGTTGCCTTTTGCCGGGATGCCGTCTTACATAATCAAGAAAGATGCGCGCCTAGGCGACAAACCAAATGGATTTGTTTGAAGCGTGCCTGATGCGAGGCAGCTGCCAGGGGAAGATCAAGAATTTGTTGAAGGGTTGCCACAACAACCGAGGGGGGGATTACCTGCAGTGCGTTTCGTTTACTTAAAAGATTTGCGGTCAGAATTTTCCTCGACTGCATCAGCCAGGGGATCAAAGAAATCAACATTGGAAATGAGGTATTGCCTAGTTTAGCTTCTGGTTTCACTTTATTAATTTCTATTTAAAGACATTCTAAAACAGATATTTAAGTTATCAGCTGTGCATTTTAAGTTTAATTCAATTTAATCTTAAGCATTGATTTTATTTGAACTCCTTGATTTTTTTTAATTCTGGGCGCCCATTTCCCAATCAAGGCATATTTAAGATTTAAAGAGCAGCGGAAAGGATTTTTCGTAATCAGACAGCTACAATTTTAACTTATAACATTTTATTAATTATTATTTTATTGACTTTTATATTTTATTTTAAAAACGAGCTTCAGTCTCATCAGATGATCTTTCATTCGATTTTACCGATTTTCAAAAGTAATTAAAATTAAGATTTTATATTTCCTAAATGCCAGACACTTTAAAAATACAATATAAATATTTAACTCTTGCTAGACCCACACAAACGTACATATTTATTTACATATTTATAATACTAATATTATTTTTCTCGGAAGTACAGTCAAATCTCGTGACTGCGGCAACCAAGAACAACTGTTCAGCCCATATCAATTCATAAACATAATAATTCCGACGCAGAGGCTAAAATTAAACTCAGACTGAAATGTGAGAAAAAAACTTTCTCACGATCACCTTTTGGGTAGACGCGTAAAAATCCACGTGCAAAAGGGGGAAGGAACCACCACCACCACCATCAACGCCGCCGCCGCCGCTGCCACCAACAACAACTGGCGACAACTGCGGAAGGAAGCTAAGTAGAAGCACGGCCACGCAGGCGGAGTAGGGCGCAGGATACATGTAGACTGCATCGATATGTGATGGTGGTGGTTGCTCGTTGGTGCTGATGGCCCCCTCGCCGGTCCTTCCGAATGCATGAGAATTTAAATTACAAACAAACAACGCGCACAATTGTCGACCTTTGTTTGTGTGTATCGGCATGTAGGGACCATTGGCCGACAAGGAGGACTGAAGGCGCAGGACAACAGATGATGGTGTGGGAACTTTGGCGAGGACACACCCGAGCATGAAGCGGGCCATGGCTGTGCTGGGGCGGCCAATTACCGAGTTCGAGTCTAGGTTAACTGCACGCTAATGTGCCACATTCCCACATTTGTTTACCGCTGTCGCAGTCGCAGTCGCCGTCGCAGCTCTCTGACAGAGTGACTAAATAATTTTTGAAAATTAAGTTGAAGCTAGTGCCCACACGCCCGCTACACATGTGTGTAGCGCATCAGTGTGACAGCGCTGCTCACCAATACAGACGCTATTCAATTGGCTCAGTTTCTCTCAGCGTTGCGCGCTCTCTCTCTCTCTCTCTTTTTGTCGCTGCTGCCGCTATAGGCGATCACGCTCATGCGCAACAACAGCGTCTTGCAAAATGAAACAAGTAAAAAGTAAAAGCGTCGGTTTACGAAATGGAATATTTTTGTATTGCTGCGTTACAAAACTGAAATAACTGAAACGCATGCACTCAT